GACCAGTCGACAGGGTCCACAGCCGCCCAGCGGGGAGCTTCTCCAGGGAGGCTGCGTGCCCAGGCCCCCCAGGGGCCATGCTGGGTGCCCCACCCCACCCTGAAGCAGCCGGCTCTCTGGGCCCCCAGGGAAGGAGGAGGTCAGGGCGGCCTGCTTGGCACAGCTGACGTGCCCTCGCCCAGCCTGCCACCCACCCGAACCCGGAAAGGCCGCAGGTCCCGCCTCCGCCTGCCGCCTCATGACCTAAATTTGGTTTTCACCAGCTCCCCCAGGGAGTGGGGAACAAGTGGGCTCCAGCTAGCAAGTCACCTCCTGGGGGGTCAGTCCAGACTCAGTCTAGACACTTGGAAGGGCCAGGACTGCTCCTGGGGCGCAGTGACCGCCGGAGCCCAGAAGGGCTCTTGTCCTGGGGGAGGTAGACGAGGGCTACTGGCCGGTTTCTCATCCTCGGGAGCCTGTCCCGTTATTAACAAAGACCAATACGGGAGAGGCACGGGCCCGCCAGCCCCCCACCACTCCGCACGGTCGTCCCCACTCCGCCAGCACAACCTGCGGCCTGGGAAGGTTCCAACAATGTCCCAGCCCGCTTAAGGGGGAGAAATGGGCACAGAGAGGCCCTGAAGTTCTGCTGTTGCACAGCTGGCAAGGGAGGGGCAGGGCCAGACACTGAGTGCTGACCATGCCACTGCGCAGCCCCCAAGGAAGCGGGTGATGAATTCCAGCCTCGCACCTGAAATGGGTAAGGCCAAGCCTCAAAAGGCAGGAGGAAACGGAGCCCTCTGTCTCTTGGGGGCATGCCCACAAGCCCTGGGGACAGGGCTGGCCCAGGTGTCGGGGCCAGGTGTCCTGGGCAGCCTGGCACGGGCGCCCAGGCACGTAGGAGGCCGCCCCGCCACAGGGTGCTAAGGTGCTTTGCTTAATAGGATCCCAGCTCCCTGGCTTGGCCAAGCCCCCTCTGTCTGGTGATCCTGGGCTGGACCTGGTGGGTGGGTGGGGAGGCAGGCACTGACCTAGTTAACTCCTCAGGGGTGGCTCTCTGGGCTCCCGAAGGTGGCAGAAGCCACAGCTGCCCACGGGAGCAGCGCTGCTCCCCTCCCCCAGGCCGGGCTCCTCTGGAAGGCTCCCAGACGGAAAAGGATGCCCAGCCCCACCCTGGTGAGGAAGGCCCACCCTCCTTCCTCAGGGAGCCTCCTTCAGCTGCCCATTGTGTCCCTGTGGGCCCCTGGGGGCGGGCAGGCAGCCTGCACTCTCCAGCCCTCTTTTTCCCTCAAGCTCAGCCTGCCCGACTCTGGAAAAGCAGGGGACACTTTCAGAACAGAAAACACAGAACTGACACATTCCTCCACCAGGCTCTCCTGGGTCATGGTGCCCCATCGTCACCCAGAGCCTGGGGTCTGGGAAAAGCAAGGCCAAGGATCGGCACTGTCTTGAAAGAGCCCACGGTGACTGCCCTCGACTGAGGTCTCCACCAGCCGAACGTCACAAGGAGCTGGCTCTGTCTGCCGGGCGGGGGTGAGTGAGTCACTCCAGCTGTGGGAACCAGCCGGCCGGACGGTGTGCTGGCCTCCCAGGGCAAGCTGGGCACGGCTGGCCCTGGCCGCATAGTCTCACACCCCGATTCCCAGGGTGGCCACACTGTCCAGAGAGAGCACATCCAGATACCACCCAGCACGCGAGGGTAAGACTGAGAGCCCACTCCTCTACCCCTCAATGAAAAGCCTGGGGCTCCAGCCGACTGCCCACATGTCTGGGGGCCTCAGGGCACAATTCACGGGGCCCACGTCCCAGGCACCCACATCGGCCTGACAACAGTCTCTATTCCATAGGGCCACAAATCAGAACCACCTCAGCAGATAAGAAACAAGCTGAGGGGAGATATTTCCAACCCATCGTGGAGAGCTTTCCTTAATATATAAAGAGTCCCTACAAATCAGCAACACCTGTGTAACACTTAGAAGCAGCAGTCCTAACACATACTGACTCAGGCTGTCATCACAAGCCCCTACCACAGGGGTGTGCTGACGTGATCCCCCGTTTTCTGGGCAACACTGAAGCACCAGAAGGCTCAGTAACTCGCCCAAGATCACACAGGTCAGCAAGTGTCAGTAAACGGGGGAGCTGGGCTCAGAGAAGGGCAGCATAGCTCAGGGCTCGCGCCACCAACCACGGTGCCATCCAGCCTCCGTGACAAAGAGACCGACAGGAATACACTCCGAGGCAGGAGGCACTTCCTACAGTCACATGCACACCGAGAAATGCTGAGCCTCACCGTAAGTGAAAAACAAAGCCGTACGAGATGCCATTTTCCAGCTCTAAGACGGGCCAAGATGAAAGTCTGATAACTGACCTCCTGGCAAGGATGGGGAGACAGGCTTCCCTTGGGCAGCCCTCCTGTGCCTACAGTCCATCCTCTACGGACCACAATCTGGCAACTGTTCCAAAGTAAAACACGCATCCTCTTACTTCTAGGAATCTACCCTGCAGACACACACGTGGCAAAGGTGAGTGGAAGGAGAGTCACCGGCACCCTGCTGACATGTCAGAATCCCAGAATAACCTCACGTCCCATCAGTGGGGCCTGGTGAGGTCAGCCGTGGAATGCAGGGCACAGAGCACCACAGGATGCCAACAACGCCCACAGCCACAATCCTAACATCAGCGAACACTCACTACCCATTTCAGCCAAACAACTCCACGGTCGCTGGGTTAGACAGAAAGCGATGGCAGCACAGAGAGATTAAGACACTTGTCCAAGGACACACAGCTAGTTTCACTGACAGAACCAGGACTGGAACCTGGTCATCTAGCTTCAGGGTCTGGGCTCTGAACCTCGCAGAAGGAATCGGGGGTAACTTTCTTGGGAGGAGAGGAGTGTAACTTCTCACAGACGGATTTAGACAATTAACATGGAGTGACACAGACCTTCTCTGAGACACATGTTTGAGTGAAAAATGCCACGCTGCAGTGCAGTGGACAGCGTGGCAGCAGAGCAATATATGTACAAGGATGTGTCCTCGCCCCCAGAGAGCCCATGGGGGGATGGGGCTCCGCTGGGACAGAGATGGCAGTCATCTTTTCCCACACCCCTTTTGTACAAGTTCATCTTTTTCTTTTTTCTTGTAGCCAAATCATTTACTGTTTTTAAAAGCCATTTTCCCCTGGGTCTCAGGTGTGTCTCAGACCGGCATCTAAGGACTGAGGGTAGCACCCCACGCCCTGAGAGCTAGGAGCCCTGGGTGCGGTGGGGGGCAGGGGGCCTGGAGGGGAGAGGCTGGCTGGCCTCTAAGCACGTCCTTCGCACAGGGGAAGCCACAGCACTGCCAGCCCTGGAGGAAGTGGCAGGGCCCACCACCAGGTGTGTGGCCCAGCCAGGATGGGGAGAGGGGGGCGGGAAGGGAAAAGGGAGGCAAAGGGAAGGGAAAAAGGGAGGCCAGGGAAGGGTGGGAGGGGAGCAGGAAGAGGAGGAGGGGAAGGGGGCCGCCCTCTTGGTCCCAGGACAGCTTCCAGGCTTCTAGGTACTTGCTGTCACACTGGACCTGGGCCCTCCCCATGTCACCTCATGTCATGCCACAGCCCCCAAGGCCACAGCCCAGCTCTGAAGGGGGAGGGAGAGGACAGGGGAAGAGGGAGGAGGCCACCAAAACACAGACAGCCAGGACGGGAACTTCCCCTCAGCCAGGGGCTGGTCCCGTGGCCTCAGTAAACAGGTTTCAAAACCATTAGTCAGCACTTTAGCCCTCAAATCTGCTGCCTCAGGTTCCTGGTCCCCAAACTGGGTATCCAGGGTCCCAGACCCTTGCCGAGGCTGGGCCCCACCGCCAGGCCCAGAGGCCAGGGGGCACAGGGGGAAGCCAGCCACAGCCTTCTGGGCCAGCTAGGCCTGAGGTGGCCTGATCAGACAGGCGACCGCCTCCCTCCTGCCTCCAGCTAGGGGTGGCTGGCCCCAACTGCCAGCAAGAAGGAATCTCCCTTGGCCCCTCCCCTCCCCCAGTCTGACGCAGGGAGAGACTGGCCAATGCCAGGCCGCTGGAGTAATGTCAACAAACAATCGGTTGGCCCAGACAGGTGGTCCAGGCCGGCAGGACTGCCCTGGGCCTGCGCTGGGGACAGGACTTACAGTCAGGGCCACTGGGTCAGACACCTACGGAGGGCCACGCTGTAGCCAGACCTTACCCGGTGGATCGCTGCTGATGCCTGTAGCAGTCAGGCAGCCAGGGAAGGTGGAAGCTCTCCTAATGTGCCCAGAGAAAGCCCAGGCCCAAGAACTGAGCTAAGGATGGGATCTCCAAGTTCCCTTGCCCCTCTTCCAGCTGGGCAGGTCAGACACCCACCCACATTTGGGGGTGCCCAGCTCCTTCCCCCAACATGAGATGCTGGCCTGAAACAGTCCACTACCGACCAGGCTGGCCTGAGACTCAGGTCACCAGGGCCCAAGGCTGTGCCTGGGCCAGCCTGGAGGGGAACACCCCCTCCCCACCATGACCACAGCCCAGAGCCTTACCTGGAAGTCATACAAAGCCACGATGTTTTCATGCTTCAATTCCTAGGACAGAAACCCAAGTTTCCCGTGAGCAAGGTGGACTCACCCATCACCTGTCCCCCTCCTGCTTCCAACGCCAGCTCACCTTGAGGATCTTGATTTCCTTCCCCAGCAGAGTCTGGGACTTAGCGAGGTTCTTCTTGTTAATGCACTTGACAGCGACCTCCAGGTCGTGTTTCTGAAAACCAAGCGCGGGTGTCCCTCAGGGGCCAGGAACAGGGAACCCCTTGAAGGCCTTGCCCAAGCCAGGTGAGCACCTGGCAGGTCCCGGGAGATGAAGGAGGGTCAGGGGTGTGAGTGAAGGGGATGTGGGGGTCTCCGGGTGTGGGGTGGGGATGAGGGGGTACCCGGCCGTGCAGATGTGGGGTCCAGGCTGGGTGAGGGGCGCTCTGAAGTGTGGAGGTGGGGATGAGGGGGTGTCCGGAGTGTGGGGGAGAGAGGGGCCCCCGCGGTGGAAGGCCGCCCTCGCCCGGGCCCTGTCAGGGCCCGCCGGCCCCTCACCTCGCGGTGGCGCCCCTTGAAGACCACGGC